AGATGAATTTGGCGCACTTTTTTGAGTGTTCTTACCCTTTCTTCTTTGTGTTCGTGGTTGTTCATTCAAAATGTATGCTTAAAAAGCGAAACTATAAAAACTTTTTTGGGTGTTCGTTAGGCATTGCCATACTCAGCTCGACGAGCTCTATCGATTGGCTAACTCAGATTTTAATTGAAGGTGTTCGTGGGTGTTCGCGTCTTTTAGCAATACCCTAGAAATCACTATGAAAAAAAACTCCTTGATTTGTAGTAGGTCTCTGAAGAGATTTTTGATGAAGATAAAGTGATTTTTTGAGTCTTCGTAAACGACTAACTGCATTATCATTCAGTTTTATTAATAATAAGAACTTCTAATTTCGAAACATGATAAAATATAGTAGAGAGTATTAAGTGTTAAATGACCATGTTTGCGACTTGTTTGTTTAAAATAAGACTAGCGAAAATCTCATTAAAAGTCTGAAGCGAATTTTATTCAAATTGTTTTATTGTAGAAATGTACTGACATCATTCATCAAGGATTGTAGAAGAAAAAGTGTTTTGATATTAAGATGAGTAATAGAATGGAAATCAATTATTTGTTCTTGTATATAATTTTATGCGTAGATTCTTTTCTCAGATAAGATGAATCTTTGAGCGTATTACTATACGCAATGTTGTATACTGACTTTAGAACATAACAGTGGCGAATTTAGGGTACTGGTGGCCGCCAGCGCTGAAATTTTTAATTTCATACTATTATACTCTCCTTTTTGTGCAACGTCCCGAATACATAGTACTTTTCAACGATTGTGTTTTTTATTATAAAGATATTTAAAAACAGTAAGAAAGACGAGTATACAATCCATTAACTATCTTTTCTATAAATCCGTCAGCATCGAAAATTCTTTCGAGACCCGCCACTGGAGCACAACGATATTAAAAGGCTCTAAAATTAGTTTTAATACATACATATCTACTCGTAGATTCATTACTCTATATTTTTTGTGATCTGAACAAATACACTCGAAAAGTGAATGCGCTTCAAATCATTTTAATATTTCAGGATGTAATCATTCTGTTGCTTTGCTATTGACGCTCCTTGAACAGCAGTGTCTGATAAGAGAAAAGGTGTAATTTCCTCCACTATGACTTCAATACATGTTGTATGGTGTGCTTAAATGAGTTTTTTAGTGATGCACTGGAGAGCTTTTAATGCGAGAGTCATTGACAAGAAACCAATCAGATCTAAGCAAATGTAAATATTTTGAACTATCCAGCATGAAAATACTTTTGAAAATGTTTAAAGTTAAAAATCTGATCAGATTGATTTACTATTTGTAATTAACTTGTTCTTTCTCCTTTTAATATATATTTTCTTCTCAGTTTAACAAATTTCATCAGTCATATATGGAGAGACTGAGTTAAATCAATTTTTTTAGTTCATTATGAGTATTTACGTTTCTACTTTGTCTTAAGTTCATTACAAATATGTAAATAATACATTCATCGTGGATAATTCGTTTTTAATAGAGAATAGAATATTCTTGATGTATAATTTGCACATTACAGTGTAGTTCATAATGATGTAATTGATGTTGGAATGTTCAAGGGTGATTTTAGTATAAGGACATTCATTATGAGATGTAGGAAGGACTCGGAAAGAGAGAGCAAGGAAGAGCGTATAACTTTTCTTCATTGGCCACTACTTTTTTTCATTTTTTGTTTTTTTTTCTTTTCAGGAAGGCACAGTATATGAAAATGGAACGTTCGAACTTGATATTCAATTTCCTACAGATTACCCGGTTAGGTTTTCAAATAACATAGTTCGAATAATCCATTCATTTTTTGTTTTCTTTTAGTTTAAGCCGCCAAAAGTATGAAGAATTAAAGAGACATTAGTTATGATGAATGATCGCATACTTACTTTCTTTAGGTATCATTTATAACAAAAATTTATCATCCAAATGTGAGTAATGGAAGTATTTGTCTTGATATTCTCAAAGAGAAATGGAGTCCGGCATTAACAATATCAAAAGGTAGAGATATTATACTATGTGTCTATTAGTGAAGTGTCAAGCTTCGTTTTTCTTTATTTTTTTTTAGTTTTATTATGTATCTTAGCATTGATGTCTGATCCAAATCCAGAAGATCCACTTGTACTTGAAATTGCCGAACTTTATAAAACGAATCGTGCCGGTTATAACGATACAGCAAAAGCATGGACAAAAGAATATGCAATAAACAAAAGAAATTAATACTTTAAAAATGACTTTAAAAATTAGTTAATTAAAATTAGTCATTTGTCTTCAAACTAAACAAGATATTTAACTAACAGGTGTACGTCAACTACCTCAAATATCATTTTTTTTAGTATCATTCTAGTTGACCATTGTACATGTCTCTATTTTTTTTATTTCGCTATTGCTGTGATTGTTTTTCTTTTCTCTATTCAGAACTCAAAATTTCGAAATGTTAACAGTTTTCATTGAACATCAACTCATATTTTATATATTTGTTTTTGTTTTTTCCTTAATGTTATGCGAAATTAAACGAACAAGGCCGAGCGAAAATAATTGTTGACACTTTTTTCAAAGATTTGACTTTTTTACTTTTCATTCTTGCCGTATGAAACAGATACTGAGATGGAGTTTAGTCGTTTCATCGTTCATACTTAATCTTCTAAAAAATGATGTAAAACATCTTATAGTTCTCCTAGTCCTATCTATCATTCTATTAAATACTGACTTTTGAATCTTTCAATATTCGATGCCAAAAGGTTAAATTCCGTACTACAATTGTAATAATAGGCTATTATGGTATACCATAGAATAATTACTTCGTCTGGTTATCCTTCACAAAAGGTTTACGACTGACGTATCCTGTCTTAATTATTATACAACTATCATACATGGAAATTTCCTTCAGCACTTTTAAAATAATATTTTTTATTGTCTTTGTAGAAGTTCTTTTATTATTCTCATGTTGATATTTCTATCATGGCATTGAGTAATCGTATAGCACCCATATTAAAAGAAATTCGACCCGTATTATCCGTTAATCATGCGGAAGCAAAACGACGTGTATTAAATCTGTATAAAATATGGTTAAGGCAAATACCTTATATTCGGGTTGATTATATATCAAATAATTGGACTGAACCAGAATTACGAAAAATTTTAAAAGATAATTTTTTACAAAATAAAAATGTTACAGACATACGTGTTATTGATCGATTATTAGTAAAAGGTCAAATGGATTTTGTTGAAACAGCAGAAATTTGGCGTCAAGCACATAATGCAGCATTATTCGATCGATCCATGGATACATATAAAATAAAACCAAAACATTTCTTAGAACGATTTTACGAAGGTCATCATTAAAGCATCAGCAACGTTATCCCATTGTCTATCTACTCAACTTTTTACCAACTGAACTTTCTATTTTCTCGGATGCATTCTATTGTAGTATATATTTTTTTCATATAAAAATTAAACGTATATTGTAGTATTTACAACTATTGGATTAGACTTAAGACTCTTGCTCAAAGTGATGATTCAAAATTGTAAAAGGAATCCGGAAAGCTGTACTATTTTATTGTAAGAAACTATCCATATATTCTGTGATTCTCCATAGTGTCAGTTTCTGCTAAAATTTGAGCGAACAACGGTATATTAGATATTCATTATAGCTGTAGATCAGATACAATAGTGCGATAAACTAACACTTCCAACAGATATTTTTTCATAAAACATTGATATAGAGATAAGCACATAGATGGATAGCCCAAGATGTCTACTCTTAGACATCTTGGGCTATCCATGAATCCACACTGTTGTTGCCGATATAAGGATCTCACAAGAAGTTTTCTACAAAGCCTAAAAAACTGCTTTTTCTGAAATTCGGATATTTCAGTAAAAGCCGGGAATCAAAAGGATTTCAGTAATCGGAGATAGTAGAACAAATATTTCTGATTAAAATTTGACGTCCTTCAACGTTGGTTTGATCAAAAGCTATTGAATCGGTACCGTATATTTTGCATCGCTCTATTTTAAAATTGACTTTCCTCTTTGTCTCTCTAGGAGCTTTCCAAAATTCTCACTCAGTGTAAGTGCTAGAGAGCTTGGGATGGTCTTGTTTCGTAGAGAAATATTATCGCTTCGATGTTGCCGAGGTCGGATTTTTGAGTTTCATCGCGAAAGCTAAGTAAAACCTTGGATCTGTGAAAAAGTCGAAAGAAGTTTTTATGGGTTTTGACGAAAAATGCGTCGCATTAATAATTAACCTGAAACTCCAAAAATTCGCCTCTGCACTGTCAGAGTAATAGGATTCTTGTATGAAATGGAACTATCTCGCGCTCTCTAGCACCGAATCTAACGAGGAAAGGGTCCCAAGTTGCAAATTGTTTTTTAATGAAACTAAGTGGACTATATGTAATTGAAGAGACTAATTCAAAATATGAACATTAAAGTTGCTCTTAGACCTTTTTTGCCCGGTTTTCTGAAAACTAGCTCTTCAGAAAACTAGGGACCGAATCCAGAAAATTTTTCGGAATTGGCCATTTTGTAGAGGACACAAAACTATCCATACTATCCAAACTATTCCATACGTCTCAGTTTTTCAAAATACTGTTGAACGGTGCTATGATTTTTCAAATTATCGTACAGCAACATTTTTCCATAAAAACCAGCGTAGCCGCTCTTTTCAGAAATTTTCCTACGCTGTTGAGTTTTGTTTTGAAAACCTAAAACTTATGGAACATAGACACTTTTATGTCCTCTACAAAATGAACGATTCTAAAAGATTTTCTGGATTTGATCCCTGGTTTTCTGAAGAGCCAGGTTTCAGAAAATCGGTCAACAAAAGTCTAAGGGCAACTCTGATATTCAAATTTGGAATCGGCATCGTCAATTACATATAGTCCACCTAGTTTCACTGAGAAAGCAATTTGAAACTTGAGATCGTTTCCTCGTGAGTGAGAATTTTGGAAAACATTAGATGTTCTATTTCAAACCTTGTAGTGGCGACATTTCGTGAACGGAGATGGATGAAACCAAAAAATAGCTTATTACCATACTGTGAACATGGTCAACATTCGCTGAAAGTTTGATCTAGATCGGACTTGTAGTTACTGAAAATAGATTTCTGACTGAGGGAGGAGAAGGAGAAGGAGTCCTTAACCACGCCATTATAGATTAAAATAAACAAAAATTATAGCAACGTAACGAAAATAATAGTCGATATATAATCACACAACGAACGATGATTTGAATGATATTAGAATACAATGAGCACTATTGAAATGTAAAAATAAAGTATAAAATATATATTATCAAGATTATGGCTACGAAAATTAAAAAGTTTCAAATGATCTACAACTACTGAATAAACACATCGAACAAAATATGAATAAAAATAAAAGTAATTGGTACGTTATTAATAAATGGTTTTACTAACCAAGCTGAATATCAATAAAACTACTCATTGTTAACATTTTTCACGTAGATAAAATAATACTCCTATTTTTATTTATTTATTTATTTATTGTTCATCATGGATATTGTACAGTATTATCGTCAATATGTACAATGCCAACACTGATATCAACTTTGTCAAATACAAACTAATAAAACAGCTTTGAATATGTGCATAAGGTGGTATTTCTTTTACCACATAACTTTTTGATAGCACATTCTTTAATGATATTGATTATAGATCAGTTTTCTTTTTGCTCTTAGATTTTTAAATCTTGATAGAAAATTTGAGTATTTTTATGAGTTTCTTTATGTATCTTTTTGTTATCATTTTGTTGAAATGTATATTTCAGTAAGTCTTTTATTTTATTATTTAAAGTAGAAAATCGATGGTGAAATGAGAAAAACACAAGAAAAAGAATTTTGCACAATATTCAGATTAAACGAAAAAAAAAAAGACATTTTAATAATTAAAAACAATGTGGCATTATTCATACTAGTGGTTTTAACTTGCGCGAACGTGATGATTGTATACCACTCTAAAAGAAAGTAAAGATCAATTTGATCAAGAACGGAAATTGACTGATGGTCCTACTGCAAGAATAAAATAAAATTTAGCATCCACAGTAGTGCTGAGTTTTGTTTTTGTTTCTATATTCTACGGAAATTATGGGTTTATGGAATATTATACTACGATACACCATTCCCATTAATCAACAACTGTTAGGAAATGAGGACTACTCCAGTTATTAATCACGTATAAAGAGTGGGAATAACAGTTAAAAAAGGATAATAACTGGTTTGCCTACCGGTTGATCTAAATCGTTTATTTGAGTGACTAGTTCCTAACCAAAAAAAAATTAGACAAATACTACTACTAAACAATTTGGTTATCATTACCGCCTTTTCTCGTCCCCATTGCGATGCATTCTCTTGAAGCTATAGAGGAAATGAAACATAAATATTTCTATAACAGTTAAGACTAATATTCTTACTCTAGCTTTTAAATTTGTCAATTCTTGTTGATATGCAAGATTTTGTCGAACAAGATCATCTTGAGCACCACTACTCATTGCATAGTTGCTTTTTGGTATTCTCCTCTGAAAAGACATATGTATTTAAGAATAGATATTTGTAAAATATACTATCATTCACTAACACTACCAGTCAAAAACCTGATACATAATACAGTTAAAGTGGATCAATCTTTCTTCAATAATATTCATTGCTATTCAACAGATAGTGGTAGCGGAGTCTGAGGATTTTGGTGGCTATTGTTCGATAGTAATCTGGTGTTAATGAGTATTATTCGAAAACGCTTGCCATGCTTCATCTTTTAACTTTATCAAATTTTAACTTAGTAATGTTGATGTGTGATGAAACATTTCTTACAAATATTTATTATAAATTTTCTTCTTTTTAATTAGAATAATTACCTGAAGTTGTGTTTCTAATCCTAACTGGGCATGTTCGGATAAAAAACTTCTATCTCCATCGTTAAATAATCCTAATAAATAAAAATTTCTTTTATTTCATATTCTTTTTTCTTTGTTGTATAAATTATATCTTATTCCTACCTTTAAACCGTTTTTCTTTCATGTATGTACTAATCATTGCTTCTAATTTTTCAATAACTAATTCTTGTCGTCGAACAGTTTCTTCTAGACCATCAGCTTTTGATAGTCTATCTTTCATTAATTGTAATTCATTTTCACGTATTTGACTTGTTTTTATTAAAGATTCATATTGTACTCGCAATTCACCACGCTATGACAAAAACGAAAGAAAAATAATAAAAATTCACATACTTTTTTTGCACTACTTACTCGTGTTAATTCTCTTTCATAATTACTAAGTTTTCCATAACATTCTTTTAATTCCAATGATTGTGCTGATAGTTTAGCATTTAATCGATCTAAACAATAACTAATTATATGTTAAAGATACTGTTTTACAATATAAATATAACTTACTAAATACATCGTTCATTTTTGTCTTATCAATCTTGTCACCTTCAAATATTTCTACGAGAAGTTTTTTTTTTTTATCAAAATTTTCCATTTTTGCTCTTAAATCTCTATTAGCAATAACAAGCGATTTATATTGCTCTTTTGAATGACTTATATCTTGAATTATTTTTCTAATGGCTTGTTTATAATTTGCAATTTCACGTTGAAAATAATCAAACCATCCTTCAATATCGTCATCTCTAGAAAGAAAAACAATATATTTATTCATTATTTAAAGTTGTACTAAACTTTAAATTATACATGCCTTCGTGGTGGATAAACGTTTGTCAACATTGCTCTGTATTCCGTTGGTATATCATCCAAATCGTATGGATTGATGAGTGGTACGCGAAATCGTAAACGATCTATATTCTAAAATTCGCGTCATTCGTGTCTTTTAATTGTATATTTTCTCTCAAGTAATTTTATCTTACATCGGTTGGCCGTTCTGCATATTGCATTGTCGGCATTAACTAAATGAAAATGGATATATTTAACTATTTTTCGACTCTTAATAGTCTGCTTACTTCGATTGTGGGAGTTGACAGAATTTGAGGCTGTAGGATAGACTGGGTAGCGAGCTTAAAAAGAAGAGAAACCAAATTTTAGAATAATTAACTTAGATGATTCTGTTTTTTTTGACTAAAAATTTCATTCCACTGTTAATCTTTCTTTTAAATAATTTTTTTTCTCTTGTCAGTCCTTTATACCGTTGTTGATGGTATATAAATCATGGACGACTTGGGATTTACTACCCATCGTTGTTTTCCAGACATCAATTTACAATTGTCCATGTGTTGATTGTCAAAAAACTATATAACTGCTGTTTCTTCTACGAAAAAAAACTCCTAAATCTGTTATATGAAAGAAAATTAAAAATACTCATAAAATTGTTAACAA